ATGGTCACTTCTATTAGATTTCTCACTTCCATTGGTTTTAGGTTGTAATTGCTCCTAGCACAGAAGACCTGAACCACCTATATTCATCTCCATAAAATACTAAGATTAAGTTAAAAATAAGCTTTTCCCACCCTAGCTGGTTTGGCTGTGGCTATAGTGAAGGCCTGTGGACTGAAGGGTTCTGGGTTCAGTTCTGATCAAGGGCACATGCCAGAATTGTGGGCTTGATTATCAGTAGGGGGTGTGCAGAGGCAGCCAATCAATGATTCCCTCTCATTATTGATATTTCTCTCTTCCTCTCTGAAATCAATTAAAACTTTTATTTTTTTTAAAGCTTTCCCCAAAGCAAGGCAGATTTTTATTTCTAATCCAGTTGGCATCCAGTACTTTCTGGAAAGGAGCTTGTTTTTGTATAGAGTCCAGAATCCTGACTGAAGCAGGATAAATAATGTTTCCCAATCAACAATTAGCACTGGTTTCTCTTGGATTAAATTTCAGAAGGCTCCCAGTAATTAAGTGCCAAACTGTTTTCATACAGACTTCCAAAAAGAAACTCAAAGTGTAAAATGAATAATGCAATGCTTTAGCAAGCTAACAGTTCAGCTCAGAAAAATACATAATCTTTCTTAATTATTAAAGAATATATTTTCTAGGTTGATATATTAGATTTAAAAAATATGAAAAAAACAAAAGCTATATGATATAGAGGTTGTGGTAGAATGTATTGCTCTTTCCATACCTGACTTCTGTTTAATCTATTGTGCCTTGCAGGTAGATTTGTAAGCAGTTATAATCTAGACACTATCTTTTTAAAAGTTGCTTAAGGAATTACTTAAAGACGCATAGTCTTTCAAAACTCAAGCTAGATTTTTGGTGGGCAAAATGTAATCACTTTATTACAGTTTCAGAAAAAGATACATGATTAACTGCATGATACTTATATGATGATATTTTTATTGTACACAATGATTATCAAAATGCCCAGAGACTTCAGATATTTCTAAAATAGTAACTATTCAATTAGCTTTAAAGACATCTTCTGGTTTAAAAGTTGCATATGCAATATAACACCTCAATTTTCTCATATTAGAAAAAAATGTAATGATGTGGTACATTTATACAGTGGAATATTATTTCTTTTGCCCGGCCAGTGTTGCTCAGTGACTGAGGGTCAACCCATGAACCAGGAGATCATGGTTTGATTCCTGGACAGGGCACATGCCTGGGTTTCAGGCTCGATCTTCAGTAGGGGATGTACAGGAGGCAGCAAATTGATTCTCTCTCATCATCGATGTTTCTATCTTTCTCCCCCTCTTCTTTCCTTTCTCTGAAATCAAAATTTAAAAACATATAAAATACAAAAAACAAACAAAATGATTACCTCTTTCCCTTTAAAGTTTAAATAATGACAAATATATATATTTTTGATGCTATCAACTGATTCCTTTATTAACTAAGTATTACAACATTCACTAGATGCAAAGCAATATACTTAGAATTTACCTAAAATGACAGAGCCCCAAACAGATCTTAAAAGTTTTCTCAAAGAACAATTCCATAAATACATATTTGAAACTCAAAACATTACCTATTCTGCCTGGCTAGCATGGCTCAGTGGTTGAGTGTCAACCTATGAACCAGGAGATCACAGTTCATGCCCAGGTTTCGGGCTCAATTCTTACCCTCTTCACTGCAGGCGTGCAGGAAGCAGCCAATCAATGATTTTGTCTCATCATGATGTTTTTATCTCTCTCCCTCTCCCTTCCTCTCTGAAATCAATAAAAAGATATATATTTTAGAAGAAAACCAAACAAAACATTACTCATCCTAAAATCTGCAAAGACAGAGTAATCATCCAATTAAAAAATACACACCATCAACTAAAACCACATGTAATGCATGTCATATTACTGAGATACTACAGAGGGAGCTGCTAACATAGATAAATAATATATTAAGTTGAAGTAAAATAGTAACTTAAGATCCTTTTAAATCTTCAATATTTTCGTACTTGATGTATTATGTTGTCATATTTTTCAGATGGAAATTACAGAAAAATTTTTTCCTTTGGCTATAGCATATTTATACTAAAAAGCACAGGATATAGAAATTTCTTTTTAGGATATTAAAAGAATCAGCAAAGACAGATCATATATGTAACTAAGGCATATCTTATGTTTCCATTTAAAATTTAACCTGTACTCCAAGCTAAATCATGCCTTCCTAAAAAGTCTTTATAATCCTGTGGCAACTATAGGGTTAATTCCTTTTTATGTTAAAGGATTTGGTGTTTTCCAAATGGCACTACCACTGGAAAATGCTTTTATTTTCTGAGCATCATTCTACATACAGCAAAATATTATACGAGAGAAAACAAGAATACTGAAGTTTAGACTCCCTGTCCCTCTCCCTTCTTCTCTGTAAAAAAATCAATAAAATATATTTTTAAAAAGATAGGAAATATATATATATGTATATATATACACACACACATATATATACATATATATGTATATATAATGAATAGCTGAGTGAAATATATCTGGCATTTTTTAAATATACCCACATTCACGAATTATCTTATATGAAAACATTCTTTCCCCACTGAAAGTTTATTTTCAGTAAAGGGTTAACAAAGCAGATCTGGGCTATCCAAAATCCTATACTTTTCAAAAGTTTTTAGGATTGGCTCCTGGGAAATAACCTTTGCAGCCCTACAAATCCTGCCTCCTAAGAGTATCTCAGTATACCTGGGGCTTTGGCCACTCCACAGTTTAGGCTAACAATGTGATTCATGGTATACACCTATTTTTGTTTGCTTGGAGCCTTGGTTCAAGTTGTATTTGTTTAAACTCTGGGTAGGGAGAAGGTGGAGGGCTGGAGACTGAGTAGCTAAGATCAGTTCCTTGGGTGCTCTATGCTTACTCACCAATGTCCAATTAGAACCCTGGACCCCAAGGCTCATGTAAGCCTTCCTAGTTGACAAGGTTGCCTGTGCTGTCATACATTGTTGCTGGGAGAATTAAGCACTATTTGCGAAATTCCAACAGGAGAGAACAACTAGAACTTTGTGCCTGGTTTCTCCTGAACTCTGCCTTATACACCTTTTTCCTTTGCTGATTTAATCTCTAACCATGAGTAAAACAGCTTTCCTGGGTCCTCTGAGTCCTTTCACTGAACCCAAGGGTGATTTTGTGGACACAGCCTAAAATAGAGTAAAACTCTTATTTACTAAAGAGGATTTCTTCTTATTTCAAGGCTTGCTATCAGCAACTTTATTTCCAAAGAGGTAGTTAGTAGTACATACTCATAGGGGTGTCTCCTAGTATGTAGATTCCCTTCCCATCAAGGCAAAGGAATTGTTAATGCTTTTTCCTCAGTGGCTACTAATGACATATAGTCAGGATAGAAGAACTTTCTCAATTCTTCTATCTTTGTTAATTTTGAATTAAAAAAAAAAAAGGGGGGGGGAGTGGGAGGGGTGCCAGAACCACCTGGCATGGCCCAAGACCTCAGGTATTCAAAGACACTCTGACCAGCCAGGAGTTTGTGAAGGGCCAGATCGTTCTTTGGAATGTGCAGGGCTGGAGTACCCCAAGTTCACTGAATTAACCCTTTGCAAAGGGATTAATTTTGTAAGAGATTCATGGGTTAAAATATCACTAAGGATTATAGCATTCAAGAGCTTTTGGTTTATTAGATCAAAATATCCCAATGTTGATCAGTGATAATTCTATCACCTCACATGGTTTCCCAATTCCCTAGTACTTTAACTGTTCCCTTTCCCCTTGGGAGGCTCTTAATTGTTCCAAATTATTAAGAAAAATATCGAAGATAATTGTCTAGTATGGAATTACCTACCTCTTGAGTAAGAATGTGATTTTAGTTTAGCTCACTGTTCAATCAGAAAAAGCATCTTGCTTTTATATTGATTTCCATTCTGAGTCACAGGCCTAGTGCTAATAAAAAGCCTTGAGTGAATAAACAGTACTATCATGAACTCACTAAATTAATGATTTAGGACTTCCTGTCTTTTACTTAAAGCTTACCAAGTTAAATACAGAATGGTAAATGATGATTTTTGCCTAGGAATGTCAGATGGCCTAACGTAAGTCTTAATATTTTCTATGCATAGGCCCAGGAACTATTACCAGGCATTATCTTACAGTTTATTATTATCCATGACACCTAATATACTATTTTTACAAATTAACTGTAGCAGTGATAGGAGAATGTTAAAGCCTCTATCCTGAAAGAATCATGTATGTAAGGACTGTTCTACATACTTAGAAAAACTAATGCTTGGAATTGAACCCCATCCCCAACATTTACTCACTCTGTGAAATTGGTCTTTTTTTCTTTTAATCTTTTGTGCCTCAATTTCCTCTTCTGTTAAATGGGAATGTTTACAATATCTTCCCCAGATGGCTGTTATAGGGATTAAATAAACACATTTCTCTAAAGAACTTAAGAGTTGTGCCTTGCATTTGATAAAAGCTCACGTAAGTCTTGTCTGTTACCATCACCATCACCACTGCCATTATTCCAAGGAATTTGGGACATTTAAATCACATTACTAGATCTTTAATTTTTACCTTACTCCAAGTGGTAGGAAACAGGGCAATATTATCCTCTTGACTGACAGTTATTGTATAGTCACAAGAGCACTTTATTGAGTTCCACTGCAGCTTAGCTGCCTCACTGGTTTCATCTGCAAAATGGGGATGGTAATAACCCATCTAAAGGATGTGTGCAGATTAAGTAAAATTTCTGCCCAGAAGTCCTGTTTTGTGGTATCATTATTCAGGATATATTGATAATACTAAGCTCTGCCAGATACTTGGGATTTCAAAATTACCTGGTTCCAGGTACTCAACCACTTCTGCAAGGATGGGATTTAATACACTTCAAGGCAAGAACCCGAAAATGGTGCTAGAAGAACAAATTAATAATAAAAAAAAAAATGTGTCCCCTTCTTTCACATTCCCTGGTTAGGATACATTTCTTCAAAATAGTCAATGTGTGGAGGTTGGAGTATGTCAAGGGCAGAGAGTACCTGAGAAAAGGGGGAAAAAAAAAAAAATTTAGAGAACTATAAAGGAAACAACATATGACATAAGTGCAAGTAAATACTGTTAACATGTTAATGATTTAAGGTTTAGTTACAATTGCCCACTGAGATTAAATTTGTCAGTCAAGAAACACAGTCTTGAACATTAAGATGAGTTTATAAATTTACTGCTTAAAGGATAATTCTATCTATACCAAATGAGGCAATTGGGTTATACTAAATGCTACCAGAACCCCTGAATAGAATCGTGTTAGAAAGAAATGTTCTACTTTTAATAATCAGTATTGCTCTAAGATCATAAGGAGCCACACCTACCATTTATTCCTTTATTCTTCTGTTAAAAAAAAAAATGTTTCAATAAGTGTGTTCTACCTGGCAGGCACTATGGCGGGCTCTTGGGCTATAAGAATAAAATTCCTACTCTCATGAATGGGGAAGAGGAAGGCATTAAACAGTTACACAAATATATAATTATGACATTTATTATTGTGCAGGGAAAAAGTAAAGAGGAGTGTGGAGAAAAAACTTCCCTGTGGTAATACTACTCTGAGTGGAAGGCTGAGTAGAAGTTGGTCAGGCAAATGCAAGTCATTGATGCAAGAGAGAACCAAGAGATTGTAGAAGCAGAAATGCCAGTGCTTATAGAATATAGTGGGTGAGAGGAAAAAAGATTGGGATAAAACAGAAGAGAAAGGCAGGTGATAATCACATAAAATTTATTTAAATTATATTAAGCATTTTGAATTTTATCCCAAGTCCCCCAAAAAAGTCACTCTGGTGGGAAAAATACACTTTATGCCATTTGAAATTCAAGCCCTTTATAAAAGCTACCAATGTAATATGCCATTGAAACATAACAATTAGGCTTACTTCCCCTACTAGATACTTACTCTTTTAAGTCCCAATTATGATGTCACATTCAAGAATCTAAACCTACTTTGCTAGTGAAAAATACCAGGCTCAAAGGACAGGGAAGAAGTTATTTAACAGGAAGTAAATTGTGTGGCAGTACAAATTCAAATTTTCTGATCTTGAGCTTAGTTTATTAAGAAAACGTTTTTAAAATTATGCATCATTTTAAATACATAAAATGGGCAGAAGAACATAAAGCATACTCATGTAGCTGAAACCAGTTTGGCTCAGTGGATAGAGCATCGGCCTGCGGACTGAGAGGTCCCAGGTTCAATTCCGGTCAAGGGCATGTACCTTGGTTGTGGGCACATCCCCAGTAGGGGTTGTGCAGGAGGCAGCTGATTGATGTTTCTTTCTCATTGATGTTTCTAACTCTATATCCCTCCTTCTCTCTGTAAAAAATCAATAAAATATATTTAAAAAAAAAAAAAAGAATACTCATGTAATTATTTAAATACTCATGTAAGTAAGCTTGGTTGTGATCTATACATGACCATTCTTGTTGCATCTATATCCTCCACTCTCCCTATATAATTTTGAATATAAAAATACTAGGTTTATTTTAGCCATACATTGGTCAGTATCTTTAAAAGATAAAAAACTTAAAAAACATAATTATCAAATATAAAAATTTAATATTTTATTTTTGAACTGAATTAATACCAGTTTATTAAGAATAAGAACAAAGAAACGACCAAAGTACTATATACACATGCATGTTTCTTAATACCACCAAATATGCAGTGCTCAATTTCCCAAAATTTTTAAAAATATATTTTATTGATTTTTCACAGAGAGGAAGAGAGAGGGTAGCAGGGGGTGATGAGAGAGAGAAACATTTATGTGAGAGACACATTTATTGGTTGCACATTATGTGGAAAAAAACCTTGTTCATTTTAAAGGTTATTCTTTTTTCAGCCAAGCATTTGTCACTTTAAAATTTTAAACTAAAACCTTCTATAATGAAAAACCTTCACCTACTTTAAAAACAGTTAAACATAAACGTTTTAAAATAGTTTAGATGTTTATTATAAAAAATATCTAGTATCCCTTTCTGAATTAAAATGTTTATACTTAGAAAAAGTAACAGATTTCCAGTTTCTTTAAAGAATAATTTTTTATCATATAGATTTCATTTCTATATTTAAAAAATCTATAATTAGTGTGTCAAAAATACATGTAAATTCATTTCTCATTATGTGATAGAACAAATTTTAACATGAATATCTGATGCCTGAGGAAGGCAGTTAGAAATTAGTGTTTTACTTGACATCTTTTAGACTCTAAACTCTGTATCTGAACAACATACATCCTGTCTTGCGGGAAAACAGAATGCCATGAGTGACGGCGTCCATTAGATAAAGCTATTTCACACTTCAAATCTATCTGCTATAATTAGAGGTTATCTAGAAGAAAGTGACAACCATACATTTAAACCTTGATAGAGAAGAATGAGGCTTTTTTACTCCAAATTTGATGAGGCTTTTTGTAGAAAAGCCATATAAGACAGGGTTAGACATTTGCACTCAAGCATTTAGCTGTGATTGTTAGCTTCAAAGGTGCAATATTTTAAACTCTGGATGGAATTTTTTAACTGCCTGTTGTTTTTTATTCCTGTTCTTTCTACCTAAAAATGTTATCAGAGAATGGTATGCCACAGTGTTTTAAGGTGGCACAGAACTAAAGCCAGGAGAAATTATCCAGGAATCTCATAAGTGAGAAGTAAATTAGTACAGTAGCAGATTTTCAAACTCCAGACTTCATGCCTGACTCCTTATTTAAATAGACATGTAAGATTAACCTTATTTTGTAAATAAAGGAGGATGCTTAAGAGTTAAAGTATCAATAACCCTTCAAAGGCTCTCAAATACAAAAAAAAATAGGCATACTTTTTCTAATTTAAAAAAAAAAAACCCCACACAAATGAAAGCTTAAATGATGATCATTACCAAACAGTGGTTCAGCACATTTTTCAAATTGCTTATGAACTGGACAAAAGCTCATTATGATAGCTGCTGTTTAGAATTTTAACCTCTGTGATGTTAGAAGAGTCATAGAAATTGGTTACTTAATGAGTAAATAGCTTAGTTGTTTTTTTCTTTTTTCTTTTTCTATTTAGCTCCTTATCAATAAAACAATTGTGAATAATCTCAATCCTAAATATAAAGACTAGAAATTTTGCTCTGGCTGGTGTCGCTCCCTGGTTAGAGCAGAGGCCAGCGTATAAAAGGGTCTCAGGTTCAATTCCTGATAAAGGGTATGTACCTGGGTTGTGGGTTTGCTCTTTGCCCCCAGTTGGGGCATGTGCAGCAGGCAACCAATAAATGTGTCTCTCACATAAATGTTTCTCTCTCTCATCACCCCCTGCTACCCTCCCACCCCCCAATTTATGAAAAGCAATGGAAAAAATATTCTCAGGTGAGGATTAACAAAAAAGACTACACACTTAGCTGTTCACACAATTGAGTAAAATTCCATGTTTAGCAAAGGAGGTACTTCTTCCTCATTTTCTCCATCCCCCCCCCCCCCAATATGTTTTAAGTTTTTTAAGGTAGAAACTATATTATTACTATTATTTTTATAAAGTTGTAAGATATAGTAAAGTATACAAATCCCAAGTGAACAGTAATTCAATCTCCCCCCCGCCCCCCAGAATGTATAATAGGACACATTTTTATTCCATGGTTAAAATCCAGATCAAGAATTTAAGCATTTCATCAACCCAGAAGGCCTCTTTGCCTCTATCCTGTCAAAACCATTCCTGCTCAGAAGTTATCCACTATTCTCATTTCTACCACCACAGATTTGTTTTGTTTATTCCTGAACTTTATATAAGTTGAATCACAGAGTCTTTTGTATATAGCTTCTTTCACTTACTGGTATACCTGTGAAATTCATGGTTTGGATGACATTGAATATCCAGCTCATTTTGGGGAAAGCATGCCAATCAACCACACATCCATGTTGATGTGGATTGGTGGTTCATCCTTTTTATTAATGTAGAGTACATCATTATATAAATGGAATACAACACAATGTACTTATCCAGGATACTGCTGACAAACATTTGTGATGTTTCCCAATTTCTAGGTATTATTAATAAAATGGCTATGAACATTCGTGTATAGGTCATTTGGTGGGTATATGTAATCATTTGTCTTGCATATACCAAGGGGTAGAACTGCTGGGTCATTGGGTAGGTGTGCCCCTCCCTGGTAGAGGACACACGGCTATCTTAATCACTCTCTGGCTTTGCTTTGTAATTTTATTACGTTTGTATTGGTTTTGCATGTTTCTGAGTTTTATATAAATGGAATCATACTGTGTTTATTCTTTTGTGATTTGCTTTTTCACTCCATGTTTCTGAGATTTGTTCAAATTAATGTGTGCAGCTGTAGGGCATTCCTTCTCCTTGCTGTAGTAATCCTTTGAATATAGCACAACTTATTTTTCTATTTTGCCCACTGGTCATTTTGTCTACCCTGTGTCTGTTCCCCTTTGAGCTATTCTTGGTTCTTGTGCTTCCATATAGATTTTAGAGTTAGCTTGTCAAGTTCTACCAGTAAAAACCCCTTTGAGACTGTGAATGGAACCCAATGAATCTATAGATCAGTTTTGGGGAAATATACATCTATATAAAATTGAATTTTCCAGTTAATTTCATTTGGTCTGACAGTAGACAGTGTATAATTTCTATGACTAAGAATGTGGTCTATCTTGGCAACTGTTCCATGTGAGCTTCAGGAAAATGTGTATTCTGCAGCTGTGGAGGCAGTCTTTAGGTCTCAGTTATATCCAAGTTGATTGATGGTGTTGTTGAGCTCAACTATCCTTGAAAAGACACCACAATGAAAGATTGAACAAACAATAAGAGTTGAGAATTAAAATAATAGTATTTAAAAAACAATTTCAGAAAAGAGCTGGAAGATAAAAATCCCTCGAAAAATAGAAAAAGACAATAAGAGAGAAGAAAATCAGAGGATAAATCCTGTTCTCTCTGGATTTAACAGATGCTGGGCTTAATCAGAATTCAAGAGAGACAGAAAATGGAGGAAATTTTCCGGAACTGAGGGGTGTACATCTCCACCTACAGCATAACAAACAATGACACACAGGAAGGTATCCTACTTATGGACCCAAAGAGGCTTTGTTTGAATTAGACTAGTGGTTGACAAATGCATTAGTCAACAGAGCCAAATATCAACAGTACAACGATTAAAATTTCTTTTGAGAGCCGAAAACTGACTTCTATGCATGGGCCACGAAGTTTCAATCACACTGTACATGCGCGCCCACATGTGGTATTTTGTGGAAGAGTCACACTCAAGGTGCCAAAGAGCCGCATGTGGCTCTGGAGCTGCGATTTGCTGACCACCGAGTTAGACTATACAAAGGAAAACGAATGAACCTATTTTGTCTCCACTATCTCCTTTTGCATCCTTTATTATTCTCAAGAGTACTCCAGAACGAAAAGACTGGGAAAAAGTATCTCCAAGAGAGAAATCACTGAGGTTATCATTTTAGACCCAGAGATTTATCTTTTTTCTATAGCTTTCATTCATTTGCTTACTCTTCAAATAGACTGCCTACTGTGTGTTTGGTGGTATTACCCAAGGACAAAAAAGAAAATAAAATAAAATTTAAAAAAGCCCAAACTTGTATTACAGGGATTCTTTGCAGGAATCAGTGGGTGTGAGAGGGCTCTGAATGGGCTTCAGAGAACAAGTAAAAGCCTAAAACGACATAAAATTGTGTGTGTGTACATTTTTCCTAGAAAGGATTCATAACTTTCATCAGATTCTCAGGAGTACAAGATTGAAGAAAAAAAAAAAAAAAAGGAAAATCTTTTTCCTATGATGATATGACTATGTGTGTGTGTGTGTGTACAAGCATGCACAAGAGCATGGCTGGATAAAGTGAAGAATATATATATTCTAATTATTAAATAAATATTATAATTGATTTCAGAGAGGAAGAGAGAAATAGAAACATCAATAATGAGAGACAATCACTACCTCCTTTATGACCCCAGTACTGGAGATTGAGCCTGCAACCCAGGCATGTGCCCTGACCAGGAACTGAACTAGGACGTCCTAGTGCATAGGTTGATGCTCAATTACTGAGTCACGCCAGCCGGGCTAAAGTGAAGAAATTTTGCCAGATTTTATAATAGATCAAATTCTGACTAGACACTAGAGATAAGCCTAAACACCATCAATCTTTGCAAAGTTAAACCCATTACTGTTTGCCTAAGTTACTACTATATCAAGGTAAACCTGTCCTTTTAGATGAAAAACAACCTGTACATTAAGGAAAAATGAAAGATTGTGTGCATATGTGTGTATTTCAGTCAGATCAACTGAAGTCAATGAATTGATATAGTGACTTTGTAGGCTCTGTTCAAAAGGAAATACAAAGCCTCTTAGGGCTTTGTAGCTATTCTTTGACATACAAAAAGCATCCAAATTAAAATCCAACCTTCCTAAGACAGCCAGTTAATCTTTCTAAATGTCATTTCCATCATGACATCTCTTTCTTCTCCATCTATTAATCAAATCTTAATCTCAAAAGACTTATCTTAAGGTTTACCTTCTCCATATTTAAAGTATCTTTAAGCCTTTAAGTCCACACAACAATTTGTCCATTCTCCTTAATATTCACCTGGGAAACTTAGGTACTACTGGGTGTCAACCCCGGAGATTCCAATTTAGGTGGTGTGGATGAGACCCATGAATCTCTGCATTTTTAAGGTTCACTGGTGATTCTAAAATAATTGTAGGTTTGGTTTCCCAGTTTTGTGGTATGAACAGGACACAAACTGTTCTATATTAATGTTTAAACATGCAGGCAGCCCTACCATAGCACCATTATCACATTACTAAACTCCTTTAAGGTAGAACCCCTAGAAGCTAATGTAGTTTAGGAATGTAGTATGTGTACAATAAAAGTTTACCAAATTAGTGAGCAAGAGCTCTGAAGCACGACAGATTTAGATTCCCATCCTGTGTTACCTTCACCTTAGATAAGTTACTTAATTCTAAGCTTTGGCTTACTCCTCTGTAAAGTAAGGATAACAAGACTTATGTGACAAAAAAAATTTTAAGGATTAAATGAATTAATGTATGTAAAACATCTAGCATACCCCGAGACATAACAAGTGTTATCATCCACTCCCCTAAAAAAAAAAAAAAAAAAAAAAAAAAAAAGACTATTTAAAAAATTTTTTGTATCCTCCACACGACCTAGCACTGCACTCTATAAACAGGACACAATGAATAAATCTCTATTACCTTAACTATATAAAAAACCAGTTGCCTTTTTGACATTCCACATATAGCAGGTATTCTGGCCCTGAGATGCTTCTGGAGATAGATTGCAGAGCAACAAATTTATGTATAAAACAGTAGTGTCCTGCCATCTTCATTTCCAGCCCTCTGCTTCACTTTTGAATATTCCTACAGAAGTCATAAGCACTCTCTTATGACAGAGCTTATTAGGAGCTTGAGACAGTGGTTGTTGTGTTTTAATAAGTGTGATTTTCAAGAATTCTGTTTCTTTTCTTACACAACTCATTCTGAAACTATCTTTGTGACTTAATTAGTTACTCTATAGGAATAATACATGAGGAAAAATACCAGCAGTAGTCTATTACACCATCCCTCATATATATATATATATATATATATATATATATATATATATATATATATATATATTCTTTTCGTCCCTCCTTTATAAATGATAGAGCTGAATATAATAAACCATTAAAACCCCTAATAAGTAAATTTCTGATGCCACCTTCAAAATATTTCCTCACTATGAATACCTTTACTTGAGTGTCTGAAAATGTACATAAGGTTTGTACTCTTTGATGCTAGGGTGATACTCAGGCAAAAACTAAGCAAGCATCAGATATCATTCTAAATCACTTTCAAAATTTGAGGAACCAGTCATAAAACAGAAATAAGTGATATTTTTTAAGTTACTGAAACAAACACATTGCTAAGCAGTTCCAATTGACTAAAAGATAGCAATAACTAAGAAAAAAAGATCAAGGAAGATTTCAAGGGGGGAGGGGGGGATAATCAATCAACAAAATGTCAAGCCAAGGAACTTCAAGTAAGTTTGATATTCCTAGTTTTACCAAATACTTTAAACTTACAGAAATTTCTCTCTTTAAGAGAGAACCATACTTTGGCAAAAGTTCTAAAAGTTCCTGTGCCAACAAGAAATTATTACTATTTTTCTGACAAAGATTTTAATACAGCAATTAAAATACTATAGATTGAGTACCAAATGCAGAATATAAGGCAGTTTTTCTTTTCAATGAAACTGCAAACTAAGAGTCCAGTGCTAATACCCCCCAGGTAAATTTCACATGAATCAGACTTTTAATTTAGTATTAGGTGAGATGAAGCTGTCTTTCAAAACAAAATAATTCTAGTTGCCGTGAGACTTAACAAATTTAAACACAGCCACAAAAAGCTAACCTATGTTACTTTAAGAGATTGCTGTTTTTTAAGAGGTGACTCTGCTTCCCTACGTCTTGAACTTAATCTCTGGTTAGTTATGAAGGATAAATATAAAGCATTTAAAATCAGGAACCAATTATTTTCATTTAAATCACCCGGACTACATTTTATACTCTACTTATTAATATTGTCCCTCAGTTAAATATTAACATTTGCTTTATAACAATTAATATTTATCTGTCAATCAATGAGTCTTAGAATTTAAGTAAGTTAATTGTTCACAAAAAGGATCTAACTTGTCTCAGGTTTCCAAACCCATTTAATAACTTGCATATTTCTTTTTAACTCTCTTTTGCTTTTTACTAATATAATTAAGCATGCTTAGGAAACAGTTTATCCCAAACACCAATTTCACTTACATTATCATGTTTAAAAAAACACAACATCTTCAATTCCCGGAAGACCCTTTTGCAAGAGACCAGATTCTGGAAGACGTTGGGCATCTTTTTGAGTGCTACTCTCTTTCCATCTCTTGGATCTGTTACTGACCTAAAGAAGCAATATTTGGAGGAGAGGGGAAAAAAAGACAAAGACATCAATTCCAAGCCTTGTTCTTTAATGTTTTGGAGCATGACAAATATCTGTATCTTAAAAACTCAACATTTAATCCACTTTATAATGCGTAAGGTGCCAGCGAGAAAGAAGATTTAAAAAAAAGTACACACCTATAATCAAAGGGAATGTTTAGCCAACACAATTCATTCGCTATGCTTTTTCCTTTATTTACTTTTAGAAAAGCAAGAAAGAATTTATTGACCACAGCAAAAACACACTTAGGACAGTGAAACCGGAAGGACATAGCAGAAGCAACAGAAGAGCCTAGACTGGGCTGCTTTGGCTCACTGGGAAGTCAGAGAAGGGGGCCCTTGGAGACAGGTTCGACAGGTTCAGCAGATTAGACAGAGCTACCACTGTCCACTGCTCCCCTGGTTGCAAGCCTTGCGGGGCTCTTGAAGTTTAGGAGATAATGTGCTTGTGGGGAAACGAAATGGCATGGGCGTGCTTCCTGGAGGGAGAGTGCCACTTGTTCCTTTATTTTTAATTCCTGTCCAAATTTTTATAAACAGTCACTCTTTCTGAGATGTTACTTAGCAATACATCTGTGATGAGAGGACTATTAGTGGCAAAGCCATTTTAAAGACGGAAGGAAAAAGGTATAGAACATTAACATAATTGAGGTCAAATTAGTTTTATATGCTGTATTTTCAGAACCAAATTCAATATGGGAGAGATGTTCATTCAGATGTTATCACATTTAGTTTAACATATCTCTTAGTTTCTCATATAATGAACAGCTTTTAGTAATAAAGATTTCAAAATTTCAGTACCACCAGTAGTTGAACAGTGTCCCCTCATCAGAAGACTAAGTGCCAGCTTTCGGCTGTAGCTTCTAGATTATGAGAAAGTCTTTTATTTCTCAGCTCTTGCTGTGATAGCTGCTTCCCATAAATAATATCTCTTTAATAACCCAGAGTCCCCCCTTTTTACTCATTTAGCCTTCTAACACATGTAAAACCAATTCCCTGTATTTCCTTCCCTATGTTTAAAATACTGTGTAGTTTCCATTTTTCTGACTGAACATAATTGATACAAATAGTTGTGTTTTCTCTTTTTAATCAATAAATTTGGTAAATATGGCCAAGTGGCCATTTGGCAAATTGATTTTCCATATATTAACATAAAGCTTTTCCTTCCGTTCCACCCATCATCTGTGAATGTTTGTCCTTGTATAATTCATTAGAGGCCCGATGCACGAAATTCGTGCAAGAATAGGCCGTCCTTCCCCAGGCTGCCGGCACTGGCTTCCCTCTGGCTGCCAACAGGCACCCAGGACCGGGGATTCCCTCACAGCCCTGGTTTTGTCTGGAAGGATGTGTGGTCTAATTAGCATATTATGCTTTTATTATTATAGAGTCCTGTCAGGTTTATTTTGCTAATCATTTCCACTACCATTATCTTTCAGTTCTAGTTTCAGTGATCCAATGCTTTGGATATCACTCCCAGATTTGTGTCATTTAAAAATGACAGCCCTTGCCGAAGCCGGTTTGGCTCAGTGGTAGAGCGTTGGTCTGCGGACTGAAAGGTCCCAGGTTCAATTCCGGGAAAGGGCATGTACATTGGTTGCGGGCACATCCCCAGTAGGGGGTGTGCAAGAGGCAGCTGGTCAATGTTTCTCTCTCATCGATGTTTCTAGCTCTCTATCTCTCTCCCTTCCTCTCTGTAAAAAATCAATAAAATACATATTTAAAAAATAAAAATAAAAATAAATGACAGCCCCTGGTCAGGTAGCTTAATTGTTTAGAGCACTGTGCTAATTAGACCAAAATTATGGGTTCAAATTACAGCGGGGAGGGTAGGGAGATCTGGGGTAGATAAGAGATCAACCGAAGGGGGAGGGAGGGAGGGGGGCAAAAAAAAAAAAAATCAAAAAAATTTTTGTAAAAATAAATAAAATAAAAAATAAAAAAAATAAAAAAATAAAAAGCAATTGCAGCTAATAAGCAATCATAAAAAAAAATAAATAAAAGAGATCAACCGAAGGACTTGTATACATCTATATAAGTACAACCAATGAACACAAAACTCTGGGAAGGCAGGGCATGTATGGGAGGGGGGGCAATGGTATATGTACACAGATCATAATTTAATAAAAAATTTTTTTAAAAAAAGATGTTTCTTAAGAGAGGAAAAAAAAAAAAGAGAGAGATTATGGGTTCAATCCCAGGTCAGGGCCCATATAAGAATCAACCAATGGCCCTTGCTGGTTTGGCTCAATGGATAGAGCATCAGCCTGAGGAATGAAGGTTTGATTCCGGTCAAGGGCATATACCTGAGTTGTGTCTCAATCCCCAGTTGGGGTGGGGTGTGTGTGCAGGATGCAGCTGATCAATGATTCTCTCGTATCATTGAGGTTTCTATCTCTCTCTCCTTTCCTTTCAATAAGAATATATTTTAAAAAAAGAAAAAAAAAATCAACCTATGAATGCATAAATAAGTGAAACAACAAATCGATGTCTCTCTCTCTCTTAAATCAATAAATGAAAGTTAAAAAAAAAAAAAAAAGGACCTGTATGTCATCAATGCCTTTACCTAAACTATTAAAATTTAGGATAGAACTGAGAATAGATCTGTGCAACACTAGAAACCATGAGATTTACATCTAATCATTAATCTTGGGTTATTGAATTATTTAATTAACTACAGTCACTGTTTATTTCTCCATTTTCCTTGAATACAAGGAAACCAGACATTCATCAAATTGCTTTCCTGAAAATAAAGGAATCCTGTTATTTACCTATCTAAAAACCATACCAAACTTCTTTATAAATACCATAGTATCTTCATGACCATTATTTCCTTTCCCAAGTGCTCACAAAACTCTTAAATGATGCATTCTAGTATTTTTAAATAGCATGAAGACTCTTTTTTCTTTTATTGATTGAATATTTGGCAAAACAATTAAATATTATTTTTAACTCTTTAATAGCTTGAAAAGTAATCCCACTAGGCTAAGAAACCCTTTTTTTCTTTTTTGAGTCACCAATGAAGCTTAAAAAAAAAAAAATAATTCTTTATTGTTGGAAGTACTATATATGTTTTTCCCCCTTTGACCTCCTCCAGCCTGCCCCACCCCCACCCCCCAGAAGACCTAATATTCTTGACAGTTTATTAAAAAATACCAACCAAACAAAATGAAATGGAATCCAATGTATGGGAGAACATATTCGCCAGTCTGATAAGGGGTTCATCTTCAAAATATATAAAGAACTTATACAACTGAATGGATCTAGAGATTATTATGGTAAGTGAAATATGCCCATCCAAGAAAGACAAATACCAAATGATCTCACTTGGAATCTAATGAACCACATAAACTGATGAACAAAACAGAACCAGAGGCATGGATATATGGAAACAGACTGATAAATGTCAGAGGGGAAAGGGGGTGGGGGTACTGAATAAAGGATTAGCTAAAGAACATATATGCATAACGCCATGGACACAGACAATAGTGTGTGTTAAGGGCCAAGGTGGGGGGGAGGGACTTGGTGGAGGTGGGCAAAAGGGGGAGGGAGTGGGGAACTTCTGCAATAGTGTCAACAATAAAAAAAAATTAAATAAAGAAAGACAACCAAGCCGGGACCGGTTTGGCTCAATGGATAGAGCGTCGGCTTGGGGACTGAAGGGTCCCAGGTTCAATTCTGGTCAAAGGCATGTACCTTGGTTACGGGCATATCCCCAGTAGGGGGTGTGTAAGAGGCAGCTGATCGATGACTCTCTCTCATCGATGTTTCTAACTATCTCTCCCTTCCTCTCTGTACAAAATCAATAAAATATATTTTAAAAAAAAAGAGACAACCAAGATCCAAAACATTGTTTAAAATCCATATAAACTACAAAAGTAAAATAGGAAGGAAACAATCTATTTAAATCAGACCATTAAAAATATTTTTTCCCCTGTTTAAATATATCTCTGTAGGTAGAAGCTAGAAGAGAAAAAATGTCAATGAAATGGCAAGGAAGGAAAATTTTGGATCACATATTGCATTTAATTGCCAATGTCTCTTGAATCTTCTTCAGTCTAAGACCAATTACTTAGCACTTCTTTGTCTTTCATGATATTGCCATTTTTGAAGAGTATAAGCCAATATTTTGTAAATTGTTCCTTAACTTGGGTCTGTCTGGTATTTTTCTCATGATTAGTACAGGTTATGCATATTTAACAGGAATAATACAGAAGTGGTGTCTTCTCAGTGCATCACATTAGGAGACACATCATACCAATTTTCCCCATTACTGGTGATTAACTTTGATTACTTGAATGAAGTGTCTGTCAGATTTCTCCACTGCAAAGTTACTATTTTCCCCCCTTTTAACTGTGTAAATATTCTTTTTTTTTTTATCCAATTTGACCTACTGCTTTTAGTACCCATTGATGATTTTTGCCTAAATCAATTATTACTATGACTGCTAATTGGTACTTTAATAATTTTAATATCCGCACAAAAAATATTTGCTTTACAAGGTTAGTGCTGTGCCTTGTTGTTTTAAGGTAAAATTCACAAAGCAGCCTTTTATTTTATTATTCATGCAAAAGTCAGTCATGCCTGTGGCTGGTAACAATATAACCCTAATGAATGTGAATGGCTGTGCAGTAATTTCACGCCATGCTGAGTTTGTTCTCTCTTAACTTGAGGTAGCAGATGCCTTAATTCAGCACAAATAGTACCACAGAACTCAGATAAGTGTGGAAGCCTATTACACAGGAATTCTTTTATTTTCTTTGTTACCGAGAGGCTTCCTGTGCTTAGTTTCTCTGCTGCTGAAATACCCTGATTATTTCAACTGCACTTGTTAGAAGTTCCAGCGGTGGAGATAAGGAACAACATTTAGGGCAAATTCCTTCATTTCAGAAAAGAAAAAAAAAGAAGAAGAAGAAAAAAAAAGCCTTCAAACAACAACTTATTTACCTGTCACTTACTTTCTCT